CCAAGTGTACTATAGCTGCTTAATTAAACTTTATAAAGTACAGTAATTAAGCTGTTTGTTCACCTCGCACATTGAGGGGCGTGGCGATGTTCACTGGCGGATCCAGAAGCTATCAAGGGGGGGGGGGGGGTGTCCACATTTCATCCCCAAGAAGGCCCAAACATTTTTTTTGTTTGATCATAATTTGGGATATTGGGGTTTGTTTTCCTTATCATGACTACTCTCTTAGATGTTTCTTTTTTCTTGCTAGGTTTTGTAATTCTCTTTGTTCTTTTTTCCTTTGGCACTTGCTCTTGCATATCAATATTACATTTCATTTGTTGACAGTAAAATAACTAGCGTATTATTCAATGAATGGGATTCGTGACACTTCAGGTTTTTTCAATAACAGCATGTAAAAATAAGACAATGAGACAAGAATGAGAAATGTTAAAGAGTACTATTATTACTGTTTGTGATTGTAAGAAATAATAAAATCATTCAGAAAGGAAAATTATAATTGACACCTTTTCACAAGTTATGATTAAATTATTTTCATATGTGTTTCATTTTCTGTGCACAAGGCTCAAGTTGCCATCCACTTAGCTCCTTCATTCAGAGATATCATGTTATTTTAGGCCCATATTTGGATCTTTAAAGATCTTGAACCTTATGGCTCTAACTTTGGCAAAATCTATCTAATTTGCATAAATTAGGTTAGTTTTACTAAATTATCCAGATTGACCCACACTAATGTATATTAATATACCTGAAGTAAAATGGCAAAAACTGGAAAAAAAGAAAAATGGTCTGGTATCCAAGGGATGAAAGATGTTTGTCATAGGTTCTTTTCTACTAGGCAACAAACATACAACATCTCCCCAGTCAGTATATGTGAAGTGTGGTCAACTAATCAACATGCCATCACTTGTTATGATGGGAGACTTTGCTTACTGTTTCAGGAATTCCTCAAATTTTTATAAGATGAGAAACCATTGAAAAAGCCACAATCATAAAATAATGAGGACAAAAATAAATAATGTACAATTGTGACAATTTTTATTGAAACTTACTCTCTACTCTGGTCTAGTCTTGGTTGCTTCTATTACTATTAATCATCAGGGCATCCACAATGTGATTGAAGAGTTACATACATCATGTGATAATATCAATGATTAAGTAGCCTGGGAGTCATATCATGAGAAAATAATTAGGTTTTCTCTCAGCTCAAAGTCAGAATATATTGTATTGCAGTTGTATTGCTGTAAAGCTAGTTTACGTGACATCATGTTTAAGAAGAATAAGGTACCATTGACATTTATTCTTAATATGTCACTGAGTGCTATAAGATAGATAGGGGTGAGTGGTTTGCTTGACTAGGCCAAGGGTAGGGACTTGAAGAGGGGATGTTTGCTAGATAGGGGTGAGTGGTTTGCTTGACTAGGCCAAGGGTAGGGACTTGAAGAGGGGATGTTTGCTAGATAGGGGTGAGTGGTTTGCTTGACTAGGCCAAGGGTAGGTACTAGGGGAGGGTTTTTACTGGATAGGGCTGAGGGGTTTGCTTGACTAGGCCATGGGTAAGGACTTGAAGAGGGGATTTTGCTATATTGGGCTGATGGGTTTGCTTGACTAGGTCAAAGGTAGGGACTAGAGGAGTTTTTATTATCACTGTATAGGGCTGAGGGGTTTGCTTGACCAGGTCAAGGGTAGGGGTTTGAGGAGGCAATTTTGCAAGATTGGACTGAGGGATACTAGGCCAAGGGTGGTGAGGAGAGGTTAATTTGCTAGGTAGGGCTGAGGGGTTTGCTTGGCCAGACCAAGGATAAGGACCGGAGGAGGGGATATTTGCTGGATAAGGCTTTGGGTTTTACTTGACCAGGCCAAGGGTAGGCGCTAGAGGAGGGGATTTTGCGAGATAGTAACTGAGAAGGGGAATTTGCTAGATAGGGCTGAGGGGTTTGCTTGGCCATACCAAGGATAAGGACCAGAGAAGGGGATATTTGCTAGATAAGGCTTTGGGTTTTACTTGACCTGGCCAAGGGTAGGCACTAGAGGAGATTTTGCGGGATAGGGTTGAGGGGTTTGCATGACCAGGCCAAGGGTAGTGACTAGATGAGGAGATTTTGCTAGATAGGGCTGAGAGGTTATTTGCTTGACTAGGTCAAGGGAAGTGACTAGAGAAGTGGAATTTGCTAGATAGGGTTGAGGGTTTGCTTGACCAGGCCAAGGGTAGTGACTAGATGAGGTGATTTTGCAAAATAGGGCTTTGGGTTTTGACCAGGCCAAGGATATGGGCTAGAGGAGGAGATTTTGCTAGATAGGGCTGTGGGTTTTGCTTGACAGGCCAAGGGTAGTGGCTAAAGGAGGTGATTTTGCTAAATAGGGCTATGGGTTTTGCTTGACAGGCCAAGGGTAGTGGCTAAAGGATGTGATTTTGCTAAATAGGGCTGTGGGTTTTGCTTGACCAGGCCAAGCATATGGGCTAGAGGAGGAGATTTTGCTAGATAGGGCCAGGGATGAGGCGTTTGCTTGATCAGGCCAAGGGTAGGGGCTACAGGAGGTGATTTTGCTGGATAGGGCCGAGAGGGATTGAGTCTTAACATCAACTCAAATTAATTTTATAGACAGGAAAATTACTCATCCAATTTAATTTTGAGTTCATAAATAAACTTGATACAAATTGAGAAATTCTGGTCCCAGACGTTCAATGTAAAACCTAAAACATCTATTTATCATTAGACACTACTGAGATAATATAACCAAGGTGGGAATAATTACGTCTCTATATTCTCAACATCTATGGATAGATAGCTTTAGCAGCCGATTGTCACATTGAACTATCAGACTAATGAGGCGCAATGGTTGCATTAATACACTATTTCACACGTATCTCAAATAAATATCTTCTAAATGAATTAGATTCATATGATGTCTAAGCTGTCAAGTTAAATCGATAAAGCTCGGGGGTGGGGGAGTGCTACTTTATTATCCACGCAAATGAATGAATAAGATTAAGATAGGATATATTGAAGCATTATTCAGTATATATGTCGTTTGATCTTTCACTTCCTATCCTTGAGTGAAATGTCGAGGCAATAATTGAACACTTCTTGACAGATAGTGCATTTCAATTATTTTTCAGAATATATACTATTTGCTTGTTTGTTGATCCTATGCAAATGATACTTTTTTGAAACTATCGATATGTAGGCTGTTTTTGTCAAGTTTTGAAATTGTTCCCCGAATGGCTGCCATTTATGTAAACCCTTCTTGTAGGATTTTGTCTGGGGTGTATACTGGTACTCATCACATCTGAAATGAGGTGGCATTGTTTAAGTTTAGATTTTAAGCATGAGTTTCTTGACTTTTAACAAGGATAACAGCCCAAGCTCAAATGCTAGCATGGAAGAAATCAGTACATGAAATCACCCATAAATTCTTAAATACTTTTCACACATAAAGGATTTGGAACAGTATCATTCAAAAGAATGACATTCATCCAGAAATCATTTTGCAAGGATTTTACTTGATCAACATTTTGACTTGCATAAGTACTTACATTGCTAATCATTGGGATATTCACACTGTTCTAATTTGTTCCCTCATAAAAGGTTACCTTTATAAACTATTCATCTGATGTAAAACAGAGAAAGGCCAAACTGTTTTCTGATTGGTCAGAATGTGATATGTCATGCTTAGCTTCAAGGAGGATTGGCTCCCAGGGCTCCAGCTCGATACTTGACCTTGACCTCGATCGATGACAACATTGACAATGTCGTTATTTTCTGATATTATAACTGACTATAAATTCAAAATCAGCGATCCAAAAGATTTGAACTAATATCTTAATCACTTCTCATGTGTTTTGAATTTTTTGTTTAGAAATAAGGCCAAAACTCGCGATTCAAATTTTGAAGTGAAAAAATAAGGTCAAGGCCATAACATCATATAGGGCTAAAATATCGATGTTGCATTTTTGGAGCCAATCCTCCTTAGTTTAGCTTTCTGTGAATGTATCTTAATGACAGGGGTTTATATTTATAGGTTTGAGTTTGCCAGTCACTGTTCTCCAAATCTTTTTTCCCCATGGTTCTGAAATTTTATTTCATAATTTTTCCTACACCCAGGAATTCCTGAAAGTGTGTTCTCCAAATCTTGAATGATTTCATTTACAAATGTTTGTAAAACACTTACAAATGCAGTGTGCATTTGATGGTATCTATAAGATCTATAGATAATTGAAAAATATAATTGAATGTCAAAAAAGATTAATGAATTAATAAATACTTTAATGATAGTAATTTATTAGTCGCAATGTTCTCTGATTTAATTAATTGAAACAGATAAAATTGATTAAAATCCCATTTGTTCCTCTGTTAATCTGGCATCACTGCAGGAGCTCAGCTATCAACGATGCAATTGCATCCATAGATCAAACGTTAGTTAGATGGAAAATGTTTTAATCACTCTTTTAGGAACAACTATCATATACAGTGTTCTCCAAAGAATTTCTTATTCTCATTTTCACAAGTCAGACCAAAATTGGTCAAAATATGCCAATTTGTCATTATTTTTCTCATTTTCAAGTGGGTGCAAATAGATTTTGAGGTGGATTCAAGCCTGTTTTCAAATCTCATGTGGGTGCTTAGCCTACTTGCTTTAATGCTGTGGAGATCACTGATATAGGAGTAAAGGAGTAAAAAAGCTCTTTCTTTCCATGTTAACTTATTTGATATTAGGCCAGTAGGGCCTTGCTCTTGATCTTAGATAGAAGTCAGGAATTTCAAGAGAATTTTGTTGCAGAAACAATTTGAAAATAGATTCATTATATAAATAAAATAAAAAGGGCATGTTTATCTTATATACATTTATATATCATATTAGTTGAGCAACTGATATTAAACAAAAAAATCAAAATCAAAAATGCTTTCACTCTGTTCGAATGTAGTTTTCACCTTTTCAGAGATGGTATATATCTTAAGTAAGTGAGGTACTGATGTGGCAATGTTTATATTTTTCAGGGCATCTTCATTGTATATCAACGACAGCCATCAGAATAATACTGGACAATCTGAGGTAATTTACATATATATTCATTAGTGTTGTTATTAATATGTATTAAGGGAATACCATACCATGGGCTGGCATTTTTCACATCAGGAGGGTGATTTTATTAGAAGTTTTAATACTTTGAAACTTACATACATTATGCCTTTGCAAGTATTGGGATGGACAAAAAAACGTTGGTATGGGGCTTTGAAACTAAACATTTTCAGAATAGAATGGTATTTACTCAAATAGTGGAACAATAAGTACAACAAGTCATGTATTTTTTTCTATTATTAGTGTATATTAGATAATTTGGAATATACTCCATACTGAAGTTTTTTCTGAATTTTGGATGGAATCGGCATGTCTTAGTTCTAATTTGGGGAAACATACTGAAATTGACACCTCATGTCCTAATTGATGATTTGCGATCACCGAATGGATTCTATCTTGTAGTGACGTCACAATTAGGTCACCTAGCTCTAGATGTTTGATTTTGAGAGATTATCTTCTATATTTCGTGCTTTATTGATTCATTTTTCATGAAAGCGCTTTATTTGACTAGATCAACATTCATGCTAAGCACATACCAAGTCTAAGATCTTACAGACATGATTTAGATAGCGGTTAAGCGCCCCCCGATTTTGACAAAAACGGGGGGCGCTAATAGGCATCGATGTTTAGTATGAATTTCACCCAAACTTCGCACATATATAGAAATAATCATGATCTAGTCAATGTGGCTTAACTGGTAAATATCCGACTCATGGTTTTCATAAAAGAAACTACAATATTTTTAGCTCAAAACTGCCAAGTGTCCGCCATTTCGTGATTCCATCATGTCTAATATCATTTCTATATGACGTCACACCAATAAGACGAAATACATGACAACAGTATCCATAAACAAAATTCCTGAATTCTGATCGCAAAAGGTCAATTTGGGGAACATACTGAAATGGACACCTCATGTCCTAATTTGGGGAAACATACTGAAATTGACACCCCATGTCCTAATTTGAGGAAACATACTGAAATTGACACCTCATGTCCTAATTTGGGGAAACATACTGAAATTGACACCTCATCTCCTAATTTGGGCAAACATACTGAAATTGACACCTCATGTCCTAATTTGGGGAAAACAAAGTGAAATTGACACCTCATGTCCCAATTTGGGGAAACATACTGAAATTGACATCTCATGTCCTAATTTGGGGAAACATACTGAAATTGACACCTCATGTCCTAATTTGGGTAAAACAAACTGAAATTGACACCTCATGTCCCAATTTGGGGAAACATACTGAAATTGACATCTCATGTCCTAATTTGGGGAAAACAAACTGAAATTGACACCTCATGTCCCAATTTGGGGAAACATACTGAAATTGACATCTCATGTCCTAATTTGGGGAAAACAAACTGAAATTGACACATCATGTCCCAATTTGGGGAAACATACTGAAATTGACACCTCATGTCCTAATTTGGGGAAAACAAACTGAAATTGACACCTCATGTCCCAATTTGGGGAAACATACTGAAATTGACATCTCATGTCCTAATTTGGGGAAAACAAACTGAAATTGACACCTCATGTCCCAATTTGGGGAAACATACTGAAATTGACATCTCATGTCCTAATTTGGGGAAAACAAACTGAAATTGACACCTCATGTCCCAATTTGGGGAAACATACTGAAATTGACATCTCATGTCCCATTCCAAAAGTGCTTCCTTAGCTAAGTACCATGGAACAGTGCAGTTTCCGGTAACGTCCCATCCATAGCAGCTATGGACTAAGCTGCTCTAACTCGTGATTACAATGAAATATTAGATAAGATGAGAGGTAAAAGCAAATTTGAATATATGGAACAGTGATAAATTTACATTAATGTCTAGGGATTCCTAATAGCACTTAAGATAGTAAAATACAGCATGGTGCCTGACATTGACTGAAGATGAAATATTGTATTTTAGTAGTTATTAAATGCAATGAATAGATACTAATTTTATATTGAAGATATGTCATCTAATGGGAGCTAATTTATTTTGAAATTGTGTACTGTACCGACTTTTTGACGTGAAACCTTACCACAAAGTTTACTTTTAGCTTTAAAAATGAAACTGACAATCACAATCAACCACATTACTCTATTATTTAATGAGATTATTAATGAATTTTCAATATGGTCGCTCAATTCAAAATGGCCATCATTTTTCGTAAAAAATTAATCTTGGATAACTCAAATACTAGTTGACAGATTTAATTCAAATTTTATATGCTGGTGAGCTTTGCTGAAGAAGAGATTTTTAAGATGGCTACTGATTTTCAAAATAGCAGCCATTTATCGTAAAAATGTAATGCTTGATAACTCAAGTACCAGTTGATGGATTTAGTTCAAATTTTATATGCTGACACCTAGGGACACATGAGTTCTGATCGAGAAGGAATTTGATCAAGATGGCAGCTAAATTTCAAAATGGCCCCAGTCTTCGTAACAGAACGTAATCTTTGATAACTCAAAAACCAGTGGATGGATTTGGTTAAAATTTCATATGCTGATGCCTAAAGACATGAGAGCTCCACTCAAAATACATTTTCAAAATGGCTACCAAATTTTAAAATGGCTGCCATTTTTTCATAAAACAGTGCCTGTGGATGGATTTGGTTCAAATTTATATGCTGATGACCTAGGGACAAGGGAGCTCTGTTCAAGAAGGAATTTTAAAGATGGCTGCCATTTATCAAAACAGTTTTTGTTCGGTGGGATTCGTTACCCTGTGCTGTGGCAATTATGTTATATACAGTAATACCATAATCTGCCAAGAATTCATTTCACTAGAGCAATATAACACCATTATTTTTTATTGTTAATTTTTTCTGACTTCTAGGATGAGATGAGTGTTGATGACGATGATGATGAAGATGATAATGAAGAGATGATATCAGATGATGACAGTGCATTCACAACAGAATGGGAGCTTCAGGTTGCCAGGAAAAAGGTACAAAGGAAAATCTATGAACTCTTATTTATTTGGCATCTTGTGAGATATTGTACTTTTACTTCAGATTTTTTTTAAATACAGATAAGGTTAATTAGGTAAGATTATCTAAGTACTAAGCATGCTGTTAAAATTTCATATTTACTATTCTCTTATACATGCATTATTTCTTCATCATATTTTCTATAAACATTGAATTGCTATTACTAAATATTTAATTGTTGATTAACTTCAGAAACGTTGGGCCCAAAAAGAGGCCGAAGTACGGGAGGAAATGAAGAGAGCCAAACTCGTCCCTGGCTCATCAGACTATGGTGCCATTCAAGGTAATGGAATAATGGCTAAAACTACATATATAAGATTGAATGGAACGTAATATACTTGGGCTAGTATCAATGACATTGATCCTCATATGATATTTAATTACTGTCTCTAGGCATGGGATAATACTTGATAACATAATGTACAGTTGATGTCCGTATTAATTACTTCTACATTTTCAAAGGTATATTGATCTCATTGAAAATTCTGATGATTTGTATGACTTATTCAATATATCTTTATTAAACCTCCAAGCAGATTCTCTGATCTCATTGATTAGAATAAAATGTTTTGTTATTAATAAGAGTTCTAAGAAATGATGGATGATTTGTTTCTAGCCTCAGGACATGAGAAAGAACAGGCTGGTCAGATTTTCACAACAAACGCTGCATCAGGAATTCTCACAAACGACCTGGTCAAAATTATGGAAGTTGAAGAGGTAGAGTATATCATAGAAGCATACATACATAAAAAACACCATATCGTGTTTATTAAACTTTGGGGGTAGTAAACAATGCAGAAAAAAGTGTTAACTTTACTTTTGCTAAAATTGAACGGATTACTTTTTCTACTTGTTGTAGTTGTTTTTTCCAATAATCTCATGGTAAAGACCCTATATTATGCAAATAGTGACTGCCATAAAGGGTAATAGTGTCAATTATTTCCCCGAGGGAATATCCTCTAAAATTATTAGAGGATATTCCCAAGGGGAAATCATTTACACTATTGCTCGAAATTAGGCAGTTTAATTATATACCCTATACTGACTCTTGTTCCGCTTCCTCTGCGAAGGCCAAAAAGGCTTAGAAAGCCCCCTCCCAGCCCATTGTTAGCATTATAAGCGGTGACGTCATCATATGCTCATCAGAAATTTTTGCATCGCGTTTAACACACGAAATAGGTTATCATAACACTTGAAATTACACAGACGTATTGAGCTTAGGGAACTTTATCCAAGTTGCTTATATTGTATCGTTCATGCATGCTGTCATGGTGAACGGATTTGATTTGTGTTTGTGCTCACTGATGATGCGCAGACGTTTCCAAGGGTAATAGAAGTTGCAATCGTGACGTCAGCGGGCAATAGTTCAAATGTATATTCCTGCTTCTTACATTTGAGGGAATATAACTTTCGAAGGGAAATAGTAAATGTATTTCGGAACACATGACTAGGTATTGACCAATCAGGATTAGTGTTACATATTGGGTATATAATAAATGAAAATATGAATAAATGTTCCGTTTTCTTCAGAGTGTTGGCTTCACTGCAGACCCCATAGATGATAACATATATAAATGGAGTGTAAAGCTGTACAACTTTGCTGAAACATGGTAAGACATTTTACCAATGATTCATGAAACCCTTGGTAGTCAAACTGCTGATTGGTTGAAAGTTTTAGGTCTGAATTTTTTAAATCATAAAATTGATAAATTTCCAAAGTAATATTTATTACATGATTTGACCAAATTAATTAAGTTTATGTGTTTATTTATTTGACTGATATATACATGTTTCCTTATGACAATCACAAATGTTCCTTCACAATTGTTTTTCTAAAAAACATTTTGGTCTATACCCACTTGTTTATACATATTTGTCAGTTACTACAGTATTATTAAAGTATCAAGATAAAATCTATTTGATGCGTACAATGACGTGAGAATGATGTAAATACTAATCATAGTCAAAACAAACCCACTGGTTTAATTATAGAATAGTAATGATATTATCGAGTGATAATTAGAGCGATTGCTCAATATTAAATAGTATATAGAAATGATTCATGTATGTTCTGTTGTATTGAACATTGTTTTTTCTTAATTGTAGCGATCTGGGGAAAGACCTTGCAGAAGTTAATAAGTTGTTTGGTTATAACAACATAGAACTTGAGATGGATTTTGCTATAGATCTCTACCCCTTCTATCCACCGTTAGTGAAAGTCATCCGCCCACGTTTACAAGTATGTACTTACTTTTACGTTATTCATATAGTCATCTAATGAAAGTAAAATAGCAAGCCATCTGCTTTGTCTATAGAGATTGATCATGTCCTACTTTATATCCAACCCAATCTGATATGATTTACATGGTATTTGCAAAAACATAATAATCAGAGTGTGAATTGCATAAAAGACCACGTGCAGTATGGCAAGTGATTTTAGACAGTCATATCTTTCACCATGAGTACTTTCTGGCCATAAATACAGTGGCTTTTATTAAAACAATATGTTTTCTTTCAAATGAAGTCCCCATGATAGTAAAATATCAATTCAACTCTCTGACAAATTAGGGATTAGGGCCCCACCTTGGCACTTTTTGAAAAATGTTAGGCTTATTTTCTGAAAAGAGGATCTTGTTTTTCTCAATTTAAACATATCGAAAGTCTCCTCTACACTATATTAACAATTTCTGAAACGGGGATGGGTATTGAAATGAGTTAAAGTTAAAAAACACATATCCCATGTTATTTTCCCATAGGGAAAACTCGTACTATCCATTGTTTTCAGCATGATCGAAAATTGATATCTTCAAAACGAGACTTTCAATACCATTCTATTTTTGAACATGTCTTAGACCCCTTGTTGAATAATGTTTTCATGCAATAAAAATCAGAAAAAGAAGATCCTCTTTTGAGGAAATAGGTTTAATATTTTGAAAAAAATGTTGACATGGGGTCCCTATTCATTATTTTTTGAATTGTTTGATTTATATTTTTATCATCATGGGTACTTCATTTGAAAGAAAACATATTGTTTTAATAAAAACCACTGTATTTATGCCCAGAAAGTACTCATGGTGAAAGATATGACCATCTTAAATCACTTGCCATACTGCATGTGGTCTTTTCTGATTTAAAACTTATCACATTGCAACATGGACAGGATATTGATCACTTGAAGGTTTGGATATTTATATAGCTGATTAATGAATCAATGATTCTTGAGTTATGAATTGATGATAATTGAGTTATGAATTGATGATTCTTGAGTTATTAATTGATCATTCTTGAGTTATGAATTGATGATAGTTGAGTTATAAATTGATGATTCTTGAGTTATGAATTGACGATTCTTTAGTTTTGAATTGATGATTCTTGAGTTATGAATTTATGATTCTTGAGTTATGAATTTATCATTCTTGAGTTATGAATTGATGATAATTGAGTTATGAATTGATGATTCTTGAGTTATAAATTGATGATTCTTGAGTTATGAATTGATGATTCTTGAGTTATGAATTGATGATTCTTGAGTTATGAATTGATGATTCTTGAATTATGAATTGATGATTCTTGACTTATGAATTTATCATTCTTGAGTTATGAATTGATGATAATTGAGTTATGACTTGATGATTCTTGAGTTATAAATTGATGATTCTTGAGTTATGAATTTATCATTCTTGAGTTATGAATTGATGATTCTTGAGGTATGAATTGATGATTCTTGAGTTATGAATTTATCATTCTTGAGTTATGAATTGATGATAATTGACTTATGAATTGATGATTCTTGAGTTATGAATTGATGATTCTTGAGTGATGAATGGGTGGCTTAAAGGCTTTATGAAAAAATCATTTTGTGTCTAAGTATCAATTTTGATTTGCTGAAGTCCGTTGCACAGTAAATGATATATTATGACTCTTTTGTGATTGTGGCCAGTAATTCAAGTCTTTTTATTTGCAAAACCACTGAATGAAGTTATATTGTGATTGGCATTTACATCATATTGTGATAAGCATTTTTGCAGTCATGATGATATATTTTTCATAATCTATCCTTGTGTGTTGCTCTCAGCATTTTGTGCTATCATGATTTAGTCTTGCACAAGGCCTTGTGTATGTTCCACTCACATGCTAATACATGTGTATACATCCAACTCACTGCTAATATTCACTGTTTACACTGCAGCTGCATGGTTTTGCAAGAAACACTTTGGGACACCATTTTTTATATGTAATGTACAATTTTGCTTTGGTGCATGGGAGATAACTGCTTATTTGCCCACTGAGTGAGTCTTCATCAGCCAATTCTGTTACAAATCTAAGTATGACAAGATCAAGTTTTTATTATACCATATTACTAGACCCAACATTTTACTGTATTTAGATGCTTAAAACTTATATTTTCATTGTGGAACCAATGCACTTCTGAATATCTCATTTTCTTGTTTATGCTTTTGTATTCAATTCAAAATGAGAAAAAATTGATTGCATGTATTTTGTTCCAGGGTTCTATGATGCAGAGGGTTACCAATATGGAGATGTTGAAACTATCTTACTGGAATCCAGCCAAGGACATGAAGGGAGTTCTCTCAGATATAAAGAATTTCCTACAACAATGGGCCAGGTAGAAAATATATTCTGTTGACTTTATCTCATTAGAAGAGGAGGGAAAACCACATCCACAAACGACATATCTTGCTTACCACCTTCGTTTGTCCAAGTTTTCACCTGCTAGTTTCCGAAAACCAAACGTTGTTGTGATGTTTTAATCAATGTTAGCATATTCCTTACATCGTTCTTTATCTTGATGTGAAATAACAACCTATGGTATTGGTTAACATGCCAGAAATGAATAAAATATTATTCAAAGCGTTTTACAAAATTCTGAAATCGCCATTGAATGATGTCATTTGTCTGTAGATTTGATCAATCAAACAATGTCTTCTCAATGCACATTTACATTATAGACATATGTCTTCAGAATGAGTAGCCCCCATAATACTATCATATTCTTTCGTATTAGGGGATTTCCCTTAGCTTTACCGTATGGTCATACAAGCCATATATGTATCTATCACATGATATTTAAAATGGCGGCAATAGTAAGTTGGATTTCTATATGGTCCTATAATCCTTATATGGATCTAGCACGTGGGTACCACGTGACAGAATACAAAGGCTGAACTTTGGGAGATTTCCCCCTTGTGTCTTCTCTGAACCCTGGGATTTTCCCTCCTCTTTCTCATTAGATAGAAAATTTGAGTTTCAGAAGCTTGATTTGGGATTCCCCTTAGCTTCTGATGATGTCATCAAAAATCCCCTGATGTAATGTGCTGGAAGTGATAATGATGTCAGCAAAGCAGTAAAATGTGGTCTTGATTTATTAAACCTTGGAAAATGTAAACAATGGAATAAAGTATTATATGAAGCAGTTAAGATAGTTCGTTGGACAATAATCAGTGAATTTTACTTGGAAACAAGTGATAATTCCATCCTTTCAGCCTTTATTTGTAGAATAACTTGACAATTTCAGGATTAATTTGATTTAATGATGTCCTCCTCTTAAGGGACAGTCAGTTGAATATCAATCACCAGAAGTGAAAGCTTGAAATAAAACGTAGAAAACTGATGGATGATTGATATTATCCCTCTTATCATGTGTGACAAATATTGTAGGTTAGAAGTAAACAGCGAACGGAATGATCCGAAGAGATTTCCAACAGGGTCTTATGTGGAGATTGAGCACCACTTACTGCGGCTGGCCTTGGTAAGTTATATACATGTACTTTAATATAATGTATTCTGTGAAGAATAGACTCAGTTCGTACTCATTGCAGTTTCAGCCTCTTAAATAAAAATAATATCTGGCAAGGTTTCTCACTGATGATGACCAAGCTATCTACTAAACTACATGTATATGCAATGTCAATCTTTGTTAAACAAATTTCCTTAATTTATTTGAGAAAATCAGAAAAAGTTTCTATTATATTATTATTATTATATTGTTATTTAGCCATTGCCATACCTAATTCTATACCAAATTGCAAAAATGTATTTCTGTATGTATAGCAGAAAAAAGATTACCACCTTGAGGCTCTGATGCCTTTAATCATTTAGTGTACAGCTGTAATGGATACCCCAGACCACCCCACCCAAATTACGGTTGTCAATTCCCATATTTTACTTCTCTAGGTAAGTGAAGTAAACCCAAGAGCTAACATAAAGTACCACATTGATGTTGAGAAGCCCCCAGAGCTGAGGCCTGCTAGACATGAAAATGCATCCATGCATGATGATGAGAAATCTTACACTCAGAATGAAGACTCAGTTACAAATCCAAAGGTAAATAAAAATTTATTTAAAGAAAAGAGCAATTCTTTAAAGTCATTTTTTAAGGTCACCAAAGAACCAATAGGAAGTTTCAACTTGTTTACAAATTGTGATTTAACATGGTACCAACCTAGTATGAAGTTCATTATTAATGGCTGATAAGAAGACTTATAAATTAATTTCTTTGTCCATTGTACAGGATTTAAAGAGGAGGAAAGATGAGCCTGAGTACTGGGCCAAGGGAGTTGGCTATGGGCATAGCAGAAGGCCCGAGTGGGATGTAAAGGCATATCTTGCTGCACAGAGAGAGAAAGATAAACAGGTATTGATTAGTCTCTCAGACACACCAATGTAATAAGGCGATGAAAACACAAAATTAAATCCCTTGCTATAGCCTATAAAGAAAATGTACTTGATAATGTAAAAAAACAATTTTTAAGGTACCCCTATTTTTGTTATGTTCATGTCTTGGTGTTTAACACCGATTTAAGGGCACGAGTATCTTGTTGAAATTGTAAAGTAACAAATGCACATTTACAGGTAGAAGATGTGTTACACAAGATCCAACAAGAGCTTAAAGTGTTATATGCCAACCATGCCCCACAGTTGAAGCCCAGGAAGCTTGCCTCTGCTGCAGCTAGTAGACCTGAGTGTGTTGACCCAGTTGAAGACATGTATAATATATTAGAGGGTTCAGCCCTTGTCCCCTTCTTAGAGGTAAGCAATGAGGTGACCATTGTGTGAGAATATTATTGTTTTTAATAACAATGGTCAGTTAATGTTGTTACATAACAGCTATAAATCTGTTAATATATTCATTGAAACAGGCATATGTCATAGTGTGACGACTTTCAAATTATGATCTTTTGTGGAACTACATTGTTCACAAATCAGTAGTAATCAAGAGGGGGGTTGACTCACTTAAGGATTATATCAGTTAACAGGTTAATTTATTAGGCTGTAATAAAACTTGTTATACGGTCAAATATGATTTCCAAACTATTTTATATTCAATAGTTCAAATCTAACAAAAAAATTCTAATATCGTAAATATGAAATGTTTCATTTTTCAGCAATATTTAAAAGCAGATTCATTTCTAGAGATTTGCAGGCACACAGCTGTAAGTATCATCATCAGATCAATATTAATTCAATATTGTATATTTTCTAACTAGAACAATAAGTGCATTTTAGGTGATGTTATACCTAATAAGAATATTTGATATTGAACCACCCAAATAAGAATTGAACAGCATAATTGATTAATTTAATTCATTTTCATTGATAATACAGGTTAGGCCAAAAAAGCCAGTACCCAAGTTTAAAGATGAATATCATAGTGATATGATGTGTATTAATCATGCCATGTATTATTATCATATCATTTTAAAGATAATCATTTTCTAACAATATGACAGCATCCAATTGAAAAACCGTTGTTGTCTTGTGGAGTTAGAGGCTAAAATTACACCAGGCCTTTCTTTTGGCCCACCCTGTATGATTTCAGTTGCTTTCCTATTTCCTTATACAGCCCCCAGGCTATCTATATGTCAACTATCTATACAGTACTACAAAATAGCAGGCACAATGATGAGCAAAATAATATGGTGAAGGAAATGTTGTAAGGCTCATAAAGTATCAAATTCCTTCTTTATAAACAGCTGCATTTGCATCATTCAGAATTCTATAAATAATACATTTATGGGTCTTAGAGAACTAAGCCAATGCACCTAAAATTCCGTCCTTATTCTGAGTAGCCTGTTGATACCTGTGAAGATGGTAGTATGTATACATGTTTGGAATGGTTTGTTCTAATTAACAATGTATACATGTGTGATTCTTTTTATTTCAAGGTATATAAAGTCATTGTTGATATCATCAAAGAAGTTGGTAAGTTTTTACTTAGAAATTTTTTTTTCAAACTTTGCAGACATCTTATTGGTTAATAATATGGGCCAAGTACATGTAGTACTATCTGCCATTATGTGTACACAGTTACTATTACCAGCTCTCCTAGTATGATATTGAAAATTGAAATTTTCTGTCAGAGATAGATTTGAAAAATATTAAATACAAATATATAGATTCATTAAAGTAGGCCATTTATAAAAATGTGACTATTAAACCAGAAGATAGTAGAGTCATTCTAAAGTCTTCCAATGCATTTATGCATTTCAGCCATGCAGCCCCAGTTAGTTCCACTATTGTGCACCCTCCCTGATCAGAAGGCATCCCTTTACCAACTGCTAGAGACTATAGAATCACAGGTTTGTGTTTAATTAATACTAGAAATAAACATTTGTTTCAATAGTTCTGACTTGTCACATGGAACTTTAATGCTGACCATGGCGTGCATCATGGCGAATTCACTATACATTGTATCAAATTTTATTTTTTAATTAGCAGTTTAAAGAAACATTCACTTGAAAATGATTTGCTTATTTATTAACACAATAGAATGTTTGATGTCCATCATAGATTGATCTGAGTATTATAACCTCATATAAGTATTGTTTGCTTTGTTTTTACTTGACATGTGCCTTTGAGATTGTAGTCTTCTCATGTATACCACTGTATGTTCTACTTGTATGCATCTCCAGGCCTCTGGGCTGTTAGCGAGAATATGCAAAGCAGGTAACGGAAGTATTCCAAAACCTCCAAAGCGCAAGGTATCAGGCAAAAAAGAAGCATCTCAAAAGGAACGTTCTGGAAGCCCTGAAGTGTCAACATCAACAAATATGGCAGAAATGCATGAGAACTCTGCAGAAGAGAAACTAGCAAGGTATGTTATGTAGCATAGGGGGCATTGTTTAAGAATTACCTTTAAGGCAGTGATAAGTTGTTTGTCTCATTGTATTTCTCAGTCATATGAAATGATCTGACCATTTGAATGAGATTCAAGTAATCCAGGTGGCACACTCCCATTCAATGTTTTACTGGTTAAATGGATCTTAGACATTTCATCAAATAATTATTTAATTAACTAGCAGGTCTTAAGCGAATAATCAGTTTACATGTGAATAGCTAGTTTACAAGTGAATAATCAGTTTACAAATTGATGATCAGTTTACAAGTGAATATAATTTTAAATGTGAATAACTTGTTCACATGTAAACACTAAATTCGCTTGTTATTAATGAGTTCACATGGGGATAGTAGAAGTTGATGTGTATTTTCTTGTGAACAATATTTTATGTTGAGTTTACATGTAAATAATGCTTATATATATTATATTTGCTGCTCAGGGGACATTTAGCCAGGTATTTTATCCCTGCATCCCTGTGGCCATCAATGTCTGCTAGTTAAGGGGGTCTGCCTAGTACAATATACATAATATATACAATGAAATAAATGTGTAGGGCTACGCTATGAGTTAAAAGCAGGTTTTATTTGAGTACTTCACAAGTACACAATCAGACTCAGATATCATAGAACTAAGAATTGACCCCATTTGCAAAATATCATAAAATGACCATGTATGTTATCATGCATGTTTAGCCCCATCTGCTGTTCTATGTGTTTGACATCAAATCAGATATTGGGGTTTAATGGGCTAATTGTGCTAAATATGATATGATAGGATAGGCAGGCTCCTGTTATTTGCATCATTTTATCATCAAATTTTATGAAAATTAGTTGTTCTATGTATTAATAACAAAATGATTTAGCTTTGCAATATTTCGATTAATTATGTAACTGCAACTGAGAAAGATTCTTTTAATTTTGTCATCAAAGTCATAGTCTGTGATGTCATAATGATTCGAAATATTGCAAAACTAGATCATTTTATTATTAATGTTTATGAAAATGGCAAATATTGTCAACATATAAAAGCATCATTGTAATCTTGATGTAGAAATATTTTTGCACGAGACCATACAAAAATGTAAAATTTCCAATATTATTCTGACATTTCATAACATTATTGGCCTCTTAATCACTCCTAACCATAAATATCTTAAGATGGACCCAGGAGGAACATTTTCTTCATCTTATTTGCTTTGTGTCGGCATTCACGCTGCCTTCCTTACATTTTGTGGTTTGGGTATTATAACTCACATACTTGTAGAGTCTTGGGTTGTTTATTTAGCTAGCTATATGTATGGAGACGCAGCATGATGGCATGTTTATGTAACTATGCTCATTATGCTGTCCCGGGGATTTTTTGGAGGATGTTTTAAGTTTTTGTGCAACATTTTAGTATTTTTCTTATTTTTTATTGTAATATTTCATGAGGCCCGTTGAATTGGTAGAGGGGCATTTTGATGTTATGAGATACATGGAGGTGCCCTGCCTCAATGTGAGGAGAGCAATGTGTAGGCCTCTAGGGTATATGATTATAGGTTTAAGGGATTGCAATGTTTTCATATGATATGTCTACCCATGAAGGCAACAATTCAATAATATAAGTTATTGAATGATTTGAAGTGCAATACAGGATATATTCTGCTCGAGAAATCTGTATTGGAACGAGACGAAGTTGAGTGCCAATACAGAATATCGAGACAGAATATATCCTGTATTGCACTTCAAATCATTCAATAACATTTTTATCGTGTGATCCTCTGTATTGCTACTGAGATTGTCCCCTCCGTACCAATATTTTCTGTATTACACTGTGGCTAGTCGATCTATGTGGATGCAGTCAGGCACATGTAATGTTTCGTGAGTACCCGCCTCTGTACTTTTCAATGGAAGAATTTTGCACTTCTGTTTAAATAATCTATATTTACTCATCCGTGTATATCATACTTCATTGATTTACAAAACCAAAGCTACGCTATAAACACACATTCTCTGATATTTTTACGGAGAATAGATAACTCAAACGAGTTCACTCGACCAGTTTTATCATCTCGCTCATAGCTCTGAGAAGGTATGTATAATTTGCCATAGGTTTACCTTGTAATGGGGAATAAAAAATTCAAGTAATATAATTATTTCACATACACAAATATGTCTGTGTAAAGTAAAATACAAATACAATGCATTCTATAATATTTTTGGGGTTATGGTATGAAATATCCACTTTAAAAAAGCAATCTAATTATGATGTATCATGTGGATTAGTAGACGTTCTGATTGGATTCATTGAACAGACTGGCTAGGTTTCAATTGAATCATTTTGAATGTGTGTATTTTTAATATTTTAGTCCACAGTGTCCAAAAACAATGATAATGCTATATTGGTAATTGGAAAGATTCCACTTACCACGATTTCAAAAAATTGTAAATGGATAATATTATTCTTGAATTATGGTCATTTGTTTCAAGGAATCTGGAGGCTCGTTCAGATGAGCTGACAAAATCATCAAGATTTACGGATGGTACATCTGTTGGCTGCTCATTGTCACTTTCAAGGAATGTTAATGGCTCTGAAACTTGTAGCCTTGCCCAAGTCGGTATTTATTTACTTATCTGATCTTGAATTATTACCACCTTGTACAATCCAATGTATCATCGCTGATATTATGCTAAGTTATTCAGCGGTTCCGAGATTCCCATAATACCTAGGCTACCTAAGGGTATCGCAAAACCATATTGATTGACAATATGGACATGGACACAACGTGTGACTTCAGGCTGATTGACCAATCAAAACGTTATCAGGTTGACCTGCATTAAAAAAGCAAACTACCCGTCTAGGACTTGAAATTCAATGATCTGATCGAGTGTTTCTTTAGAGTTACAATATATTATGTTATTAAATGTACATTGGAATGTAAGCAGTCATTAATACTCGTCTAAATGAAACCATGCAATTCAATGTTGATTCAAAATCAAAACTGAATTCGGGATGGAAATGCATGACGACCTAGTCCGGCAATGTAGGGCCGTTGTTGATTTGTCAAATTTTACCAACAAAAACACTGGGTTGGTAAAGCACGTGGCTTTCTCTTGGGTACAGGGCGGTCATAATAGAAATCAAGATAAGTAAAAGAGACCAACTTGGGCAAGGCTATGAAACTTGATTTGTGGGTATTCCAGTGGGTCGATGGGTCTTTTGCTCTGAATTCACTTCATTGGCGTACCTAATTTCAACATTTTCATTGTCATCATTACATGTTATGGACCCTTTTTTCAAATTAACAGTATTAGCGATAAAACCATAGTTTTTGGCTCACACAGTGATCCTATGGGATCAACCAGGCGTCCGTCAGTTGGTCCGTCCGTCCATCCGTTGGTCCGTCCGTCTGTCAACATTGGCTGCACAAATTAAAACTGCTATTCGGATTGTAGTGCTGTCCCTAGGTCTGATTTCGTTACTCGGCTCGGAAAAAAGGTTTGTGGGTATCATTTTGTTCCAGACACTCTCTAGAATAAATTCATCTTGGGTGGAGTAAAAATGTGTGGTAAACGAATTTGCTATGGACAGTTAAAGAGGCGCCATCTATTCATTTTCAAACAGGGTGTAGGGGTATAAAATAATTTTTTAACACATTTTAATAGTAAAATGACATTGAAATACTAATAAAATCTTATCAAAAACATTATTTACAATCAGTATGAATTTTCTTGTGTGGATTAGGGTGAAAATAAGGGCATATCTTGAAATTCACTACCGGGGCGCCACCTATTTTGGTACTTCTACCACGTGTAATAACTTATTTTAGATTCGTTAAGGTACGAAATGTACTGAAAAAATTCATTCTGAAGGCCCTATATATGTTCATACCACATACTTAAAATTAGGTCAATAGCTTATGTACCGGCGGAGAAAAAAATTATTGAAATTTAAAATTGTGGTATCATGCAGGATAGGGGTGACCATATCTCACATTATTAACTTCCAAAATATGGAGCATATGTATCTCAAATGTGCTCAAAATGTTGTATGTACTCTTGCTTCGCATAATATTACTAATAAGAAGTAGAAAAATGATTATACATTTTAGAAATTATTAATTCTCATTTTGGCTTCTGACGTCCCAGGGGTGACCAAATCTCACCTTTATAACTTCCAAAATATGGAGCATATGTATCTCAAATGTGGTCAAAATGGTGTATGTACTCTTGCTTTGTCATAATATTAGTAATAAGAAGTAAGAAAATGATTGTACATTTAAAAAAATATTAATTCTCATTTTGGCGTCTGACGTCCCAGGGGTGACCATATGTCACCTTAATAACTTCCAAAATATTGAGCATATGTATCTCAAATGTGCTCAAAATGGTGTATGTACTCTTGCTTTGTCATAATATTAGTAATAAGAAGTAGAAAAATGATTGTAGATTTTAGAAATTATTAATTCTCATTTTGGCTTCTGACGTCCCAGGTGTGACCATATCTCACCTTAATAACTTCCAAAATATGGAGCATATGTATCTCAAAGGTACTCAAAATGGTGTATGTACTCTTGCTTTGTCATAATATTATACTTAAATAAGATGTAGGAATATGATTATACATTTAAAAAATTTTAATTTTAATTTTAGCTTCTGAGGTCCCTCAATAACTTCTAAAATTATGTAACATATACAACTCAAATATACCAAAAATGGGGCATATGGTCTTGCTTTGTCATAATATTATTCATGAGATGTAGAAAAAATTATTACACCTTTTTTGAATTGAAATTTTCATTTTAGCTTCCGAATCTGACATCCCAGGGGCAACTATATCTCACCTTGATATAACTCTCACAGTATGCAACATATGCATCTCATATGTGTGCCCAAAATGGTATAAATATAGTCTTGTTTTGTCATATTTATTGAGATTCATAAAATCAGAAGTTCAGAATTTATGGATTTGACTGTCTCCCCTGAAGGATGCAGCTA